GTAATGTTCAGAAAGTTCACGGGATCTTTGTCAGTAGAGGATTTAGGAAAGTAGCATTATCATTCTATTGCACAGCAGAAAAACCTTCCCCAGTTATCAAAAGCAGTTTCCTTAATGAGCTATCAAAATTATTATACCTCATCACGTGGTCTCCTTTATGGGTGAGCTATTATGTTTGGCAAAAAAGCTTGGCATACCACATTTGTTTGAAGAAATCTTTCCCTCTGGAAGAAACATGTAATCTTGGTACAGCACTGTGGAAAATTGTGCAGAGGTTTCATTGTTGAATATTCTGGCATGGGACTTCATTATTTAGAAGATTGCTACATCTTCCTGTACCATCCTCATGTGAATGTCTTTGGAAGCTCATGACAAATTAAAAGTTGTTCTTGTAACTATGTCTTAATCATGAGGTATGTTGGTTAATAATGGGGCATTATGCATTCTTTGGCCACTAGTACTTTAAGAAGTCCTTAGAACTCTAAATAACACAATGATCAAAACACATGTTAAGATATACCTTTGTTAAAGACCCAGGCTCGTTTGCACTTGTTTTTACTCTCTAATTTGTTCAGATTGAGTGAATAAGGAAAAATACATATGGCCAGTCTGGAATACAGAAGCAGGGCTGACTTCTTGGGTTTGTGACCTGCGAAGTCACCCAGGGCATCATGCTCAGAAGGGTCTAGCACTTAGAAAGCTCTTTTGTCGCCATCTTGAAATTTTGAATAGCTTTTGAACAAGGGCCAGCAATTCCATTGTGTTTTGGTCCCCACAAATCACACAGCAGGTCTCGCTTTTGGGTCATTAACTGTCTTACTGATTGCTAGAAGGTCCCCGATATTGACAAAAAAGGGAACAAGATGAGGTAGAGTGCCCAGTGACACCTGTAACAGGGACTATGTGCTAAAGAAATAACTAGAACCCATCTGTGTTCATGTTATTGTTTTAATATTGATCTTTGTACTTTGGAGATTTGTTTTACATAAAGAACTCCATGCCTCTTAAATTCCTACATTTACAAGTCAAGAAAAATTTATTTGGGTATTTGGGAGTGGAAAGCAGTAGGGAGTGGATCCGGGGAAATGTGAGAGCTCCTTATTTTTTATTTTTATTTTTTGCTCATGAGCAGCTTTGGCCGGCAAAATCTGGCTCTGTTGCTCAAATTCCAGTGTCAGGACTTTACATGGCTCCTTTCCAAATGGAGGCAGTCCTAGGCAGGTGCTTGTACTTGTGATTATTTTTATTGTTTAACTTTTGACAGAACTCACCTCCTTCACGTCTAGGCTCAAACATCACACTCTTTGTGAAGCCCACCCTGACCACTCTACTTAAACTCACAAAAGCACTCCCATCCCCACTCCTCACACTTCAGATTCCCCTTATTTTCACTTCTTTTCATTTAAATGCACAAGGCTTGGTGCACAGTAGGTGCCTAATAACCATTAATTGAATAAAGGCATGAGAGACTGTGTTGGTAACACACATTCCTTACAGTTAAAGGTAAGTCTGAATGAGAATAAACATGTCAGCTTTCTTCTTACTCTCTTTTACTCAGTGGACTCTGTTCTCTGAAACAGGATTCTAGTTCTTAAAATTCCTCTGAGTTCATCCTTCAAATAGAACTGAGTCTATGATCACAAGACAGTTTAAGATCTAGCTTTCCAGGTTGAGCATATCCGTATTTGTAATGATATTTTCCAATGTTGCTGTGGGCAGGGAGGTAAGAAAATGTATTAGCTGTGGAGGAGATGTCAAGAATATATGGAATGTTACTCATCCTAAGGGGATCTTTGTGTTTCTGAGGAGAGACCCCTGGGCCTTTTCATTGTTCTTCAGTGTGGACCACGTTCACTTTCAGAGAGGAACTCTGCAGGGATAACTCTGTTAGTGATACCTTCAGTCCTTCATCTTATGCTTCTCAAGAATGCTGGAGCCATTGGTATCCTCAGTTCCAGTATTGTTAAAGGTGAATTTCAAGTTATTAGTCTATTTCAAAATACGATTGAGTTCCAATTAGCTCTCTTTTTGTATAAAAATCAGCTATCTGTTAAAGTGTGTACTGACTTGGAAAGGGCCTCAAGAGACATTTTAAAGATCAAATATAATATTTAATTAATCTTAAGCAACCCTGTTTTTAAGTTATAGTTGAAGACTGAACTTTTAGGCAAAGGGGTACTTTGACCATTAATTTAGTAAGGGAAGAGTTGGTGCATGGAAGAACATGAAAGTAATTGTGTAAAATAGAATCTACATTTGGTACACCTAAACTGAAGCACCTACCCTTGAACAACTGTTTCCGTGTACTTTCATAATTTTGCCCTTATTCTCTTTAAATCTTTGAGAAGATATCTGACTAATCTAAAATTCAATTTGCTGATCTGATATGAGAAATGAATGGTATCACTATAGTAATTTAGTTTTCAATTTGAGAGCCTAAGTGTCACATTTCAACTACTTAATATGTTTAATCTTTTTTTTCTTTTTTAAGTGGAAAAGAAAAAGACTGGCACTTGGATCTTGGTTCTGTCAAATTCTAGGCATATACATTTAATTTTTCAATTCTTTGCAGTGAAAATAATAACTTTTTAGGCACTTGAAACCAGGTAGAATAAATACAACTGTGAAGATTATTTCATTTCATAGCCAGGAATTAGACAAACAAATTTTAATATAAAAATCAAATGAATCCTAGAGTGTAAATTTTTTTTTTTTTTTTGCTTCCAGAGTGAGGTCTATGTGTTGCTATGTCTGGGTGCATTGGGCAATTACCCTCTGATTTCGTTCTTGAAGTATAAAAAAAATTTCTCTGTGGGTAAATAGGAGGAAGAAGCTGAAATGAGAAGATATTCTCTGAGTTTTAGTCTAGGTTGGAGATTCTGAGGCTTCAGTACTTCCAAAAATGAAATAGTTCTTGCAAACTCTCTGCATACTCTGCAGTTTTATTTTCCTAAGGAGACAGAGAGTAGCTGAGGTGGCTTCCTGGGCAAAGCAAGGGCGAAGGCAGGGAAAGCTGGCATGTCCCAGGGCGTCCAAGAGGGAGGAGAGTTGATGTGTTGTTTCCATGGACACACCACTGCTCCACTTTTCCTCTAGGTGGTGACAAATGTGACTGGATTTAGCCTGGTGAGGTGTAGGCTGGTTTATGAGAAATTTGTTCCCATAAACTTTTTCCAATTTTTCCCTACAACCTTTATAGAAGTATATTACTTCCAAGCTAGAATTACTTGTGATCTTACTTTGGAGATTAGTTTAGTCCTTTCTAATGGGATATATTTAGGCTGATGGAATAATCCAAATTTTTTTAATCATCAAAAAAGCATACATCTGTATATTCAGGAACCTACTTATTCTCTTAATGGCTTTTAACACATTATGATGATTTTCCGTCTCTCTTTGCACTTGGAACCTTCAGTGACTAAGATTCCTAGCGTTAGGAATAGCTGTATGCAGCCATATCTTTGGAACATGTGCGACTTTGGTAAGAGTTATAAGGTGCATGGGAGGGAAAAAGGGCTTGAGCAAGGGTGTCCCCCAAGGGAAAGAGGAACATCCAGATCAAGGGTCTACTTGTGTATTTCAGTTCGTTAATCAGGAGATATAAGCATTAGAAATAGTGGAGCTTGTGATCACACAACTCACGCAGTCTAATAAAGTAACCTTTAGACAACAGCTGTAATGCAAAAGGCCCATGCCAAAAACAACAGAGCAGAGCCGAGTTCCTGTTCCTTAAAGCAGGACAGCTGAGATGGTGGCTGAGTTTAACAACAAAAAAAGAACAAAACAAACAGTCCTGACCAAGGTCTTCTGAAGAGAGGAAGATATAATCATTAGAAGCTAGACATTTAACAAAGCATTGTTTTATGGAAAAGTGCCAACCTTATCAATAGACTTCTGGTGTCTTACCATTGGCTACGAAGACATTTCAATTTACTGAATGTTTTCTGGGTGAAACTAAGACATTGTATCCATTGAGTAAAAAAATCTAAATTAGGATTAGCATAATTAGTTGTGCAATGAGAATTTGAAGAACAACAACAAAAAATCCCTGATCTAGCATCAGTTTTTAAAAAGTACTAATTTTTTTCCTACACCTAATGTCAGTGGCAGAAAATGTTGAGAAATTGGGAATTGCTTTCCAAAGATCTTTTTTATTTCCTTAAAACAATTATATCAAAAGTTGTAGCTAAGGATAAATGATTGTGACACAGATTTCCAAGTTACTGCCAAATACAGGGTTTTATAAAATTAAAGCTGGATTATTTAAGAAAAGTTATTTATATCTTGCTTTGACTTTTTCCATAACAAACATAAAAAATGCACGAATTTTCTTCTCGGTATTAACAAAATATTTTCCAAATCCACTGCATGCACTGCATTCCTTTATCAGGATCTTATTCAGTTTGTGACTCTGCTGGAAACTGATATCTTAGAATTAATCTGATACGTGCTTTTACCTACTTTTCTCTTGTTTAACGCTTAAATTACGTATACTAACATTCATTTTAATTATCTTAGGTTTTCTGGAACATACTACCACACTACAAATAAATAGTTTCAGGTGTTTTTAAAATTTCTTTTTCTCTCTATCTTTAAAAGAAATTCTAACTTTTTGATGCATTCATGGCTTTAAAAAGTTTCCAAGTTGGAGATCTGGTTTTTGATCTAATGCCTGTCAAATGGACATGTAGGGAAAAACTGCATTTCTAAGGCACACAGAGTGTGAAAGATAGTTAATCACACTGCCTTAACAGCTTTTGATTGTTGTTTAAAATGCAGGCACAGCCTTTTTGAAAATCAAGAACATTTGCCCTGCCCTCAGGTTCTGAAGCCCAAGAATTACAGAGGGTCATAAGGGTTAAGAGAGAAACAGAGACATGTCCATGAAGGCTGACAGTTCTGTATTTCCACTTACGAGGCTCAGCGACAGGGGCAGCCGGCCACTGTCTGCCTTCCTCTAAGCAACCACCTTAATGAGTTGTAGCTGTATGCAGACTTACTGTGATGGCCTGGAGTCTTCCCTTCACCAGCTCAGCTTCTTCCATCCTAGAAGTCAAGGACAGGCAGACGGGGAAGAAAGTCCAAAGCGACCATAAATCAAGGAGCCTCCTGGGGGAGAGGAGCGGGGGTGAGAGAAGAGAAGAGAAATCCGCTCTTTGTGCCAGTAGAGAAATGGAGAAATTCCCGACTTGTCAGGAGCGTCTCCGAGCAGATGCACAGATCAGGCCAGACAGACACATGTAATGAGGGTGTGCTGGGGAGGCAGACGCTGAGGCTGCTGGCATGAGTTGACTGACAAGTTTGAACGGCAGCGGCACAAGCCCTTTTCCTTCAGGAGCTGCCAGCTCTTTGTTGTAATGTGCACAGTTAGCAAGGCACATTTTCTTATTAACTGTTCCTTACCCAATTCATTGTTTTCCAGGAGTGGCACAGACAGCCAACACACTGAGTGTTTAATCAGTCTCTGCTCTAGCAACACACAGCTATCCCCGGATGTGTGGGTCTGTGTGTATTTGTACAAAGCTCGTTAACTTGCTCTCTAGCTCTAGGGAGAGAGCCTTACCTTGATTGAGGCAGAAGTGCCAAGTCACTTGTTTGCCTTTCTTCCACTGATTGGCTTTAGATAATAAGAGAACAATCTATAGTTACTTTAAACTTCATGTAGTGGTAAATTTACATTGGTTTGTTCTCCCCCTTCTACCCCCACCCCCAACTCTGCTCAGCAATTTGTTGCCAACTTTGGCATCTTGAGGTCATGGAGAAATTGAAGGTGTTAATGTGACTATATTAAGAAGTTGGCCCACCAAGGTGTTTAGGGTGGCTTAAACACAAGTGCTACCTTTTGTTATTGCTTGACTTGGATTTCTATGGAATGTAGTTCTTTCTTGGACGATGTTCAGAAGTGACACTCTCGGCTTTCAGGAAGGTGCCCATTTTGACCTTAGCAGTTACGCAAGAGAAAGGAGTGAGCCTTTGAAAATGTGATGAGACATTCTGTAACTGCCTGCAGCCCGGCACTGTGTGGATATTCCCCCACCCTTTAGAAAAAGGCAGGCAAGCCCAGTAAGACTCTTAGGTCAAAGCAGAGGCTGGGAAGCTGTACAATTGGCTCTGTCTGTTTTCTTTCCCCTGCCGGTTCTTTAATTAAATTTTGCTGAAGTAAATCCTAATTACCAACTACCTTATTATTGTGTGTTTGAATGCTATTAAGCACTTTCATATCAACATTCAGCTGAAGAGGTTAAAAGGACAACTCAAACATTGAACATATGGTTTAATTTCCTTTGCCGTTTTGATATTAGTAATGATAATAGCTAATATTTGTTGGATTCTGTCTATAGGCAAAAGCATACTTGCAAAGTGTCGAGAGATAAGTCCTATAATCCCTACTTAAAAAATGAGTAAACAGGCTCAGAGAGGTAATTTGCCATCTAGCTAGTAAGTAGCAAAGCCAGGATTGGAACTCCAGCTGCCTGACTGTGTAACTGTCATTCATCCAGGACTGCCCAAGGACACAGGGCAAGGTGAGGCGCAGGCTGAAGGTTAAGTCGGTCTTTATGAGAAGGGTTTGGGCCCCCAGCCTCCTCCTCAATCTAGCTCCTGGAACACTACAGCTGGGTGTAAGAGCCTCAGGCAGAACGGTGTGGGAATGTCTTCTGAAGAAACTTACTGGCCCTACTGAGGTTTCCCCACATTGTCAGTTGGAGTTCCCCAACCACAGAGCCCTCATCCCAAGCCAGTCACTATAAGGTGATACCCATGTTTTAAGAGTCTGAAATTATAGTTGAGAATAGTTTGTCCTTGCTCATACATCATCAGAAGGGATATTTTGGGAGACCAGAGAATAGGAGGATTGTTTGGATGTGGGCCAAGTTTGATTACTATTGGATGGATATTTAACCTTAAAAGAAAAATCAAACCTTCAAAACTTGCGATTTTGTTTATTTGTACATCCTGGCTGAAATTAAAGACAAGAGAGCTGTAGCGATAAATATCTCAGTTGGAATTGCATATTTGCTGCCCAGAACAAGTGGGCAGTCATCCAATTATTAATCTGGATCTTTTCCTAAAAACAATTTACCCTCAAATCTCATTTCTGCTAGAGGAAAACCTAAGAGTTTGCTATTGGAGGGGAAGACGAGAAAAAAAGAGGATCAGGGAATTTAGGAGGGAGCAGAGTTGCAACAACTGATTGGTATCATCATGTGGGTAGTAGGCAGAAAAGGCAGGAGCTGGGAAGATCTGGGGGACCTGGGTGGAATCCTGGAGCCAGAGCTCTGGTGGCCTTGACAATCTCCCTTGGACTGCACTACAGGTTAGGCAGTTTCCACTCCACTTTCCCTCCCTCTCTCTTCCACCTGGCCTCCTAGACATGCCCAGCCCCAATCTTTCTGCCTATCTTCCCATGTTCTCTCTTGCAGTCATTTCTCCTGGTAAAATTCTGTACATTTAACTCATCTTGGCATTTGTTTCTCATAGGATCCAGAATAACATAATCACTTCCGCATTTACTGTATTTTGTTTACTTAATCTTTTATTGTCTACCAGAATGTAAGTTCCAGGAGAGGAGAAATTTTGTTTATCCGTGTATCCCAAACACTAACACAGTGCCTGACACATCAGAGGTTCTCAATAAATATGTGCAGAATGAATAACAAATGCTTAAAAAATATTAGCAATTATGAGGATTGTCAACTAAACGAATGAATAAACACATGATGAGACCAATCAGTTGTCAGCAACCAGAGTGGTCCAGTGTCTCTCAGTAATGTTATCATTCTTGCCATGCTCAAACATTGGCTGGGAGTTGCCCCTGGGAAGCATAGCCTTGAAGCAAACATAGGAATGGATTTGAGAGTGAAACAGCTGGGATTCTTGGGTCAATTATGCTCCTCTAGTTCAATGTCTGAGAGGCACTTTCTCATTAGCCACAGTGATAAATGTTATGGAAAGAAAATAGAGCAGGGAAGAGAATAAAGATTGATAAGGCAGGGGATGTTGCAATTTAGAATTGGGTCATTAAGGTAGCCTCAGTGGGAAGGCAACATTTGAGCAAGGCCTTTAAGTGGTAGGAGTTAGTGGTGAGGATACTTACGGGAAGAGCATATCAGGAAAGGCCTGTGCAAATGCCCTGTGGTGGGCCGTACCTGCCATGCTTTAGGAATAAGGCTAGTGTGGCTAGAAAGCTGGGACTTAGAGAGGGTTAACAGGAAATTTGGTTGGAAATGTAATGCGTCCCAATTCATGAAGGTCTAGTAGGCCATTGTAAGAACTTTAGCTTTTACTCTGTGTGGGATGAGAAGGCATTGAGATATTTTGAGCAGAAGTGTTTTGCAAGGGTGAAAGCAGGAAGACCACGTAGGATGTTATTGCAGCAATACAGATGAGAGGTGATGGTGGCTGATATCAGGGTGGTAACAATGAGTGTGATGGGAATTGGTTGTACCATGGATATCTTTTGATTCTGTTGGTGGATTAGACATGGGGCTTTAAGAGAGAGAGGATTCATGGTCACTCCTTGCCTGAGAGAATAGAAGTTGCGGTCAGTTGAGACAGTGGAAGTTGATGAACTAGTTTTTTTTTTTTTTTTTTTAAGGAGGAAGAGGATAGATACTAAGTTTTGGAAAAGTCAGTTGGTTCTCCACATGGAGATGTTGAGTAGACAATTGGATATATGAATTTGGAGTTCAGGAAAGGAGTCTCAGGTGAATTTCTAAAATTTATTGTAACTATGAAAGGATCACAAAACATTCAGAATTATAGTTCAAAAAGCAGCATATGTTAGTGAACTAGCTTCCATTAAATATTAACTGTAGATTCATCACCAAATTCAGCCTTTGTAAAATAGATACATAAGAGTGCTATCTGCTGTCAATTATCTTATTAAACTACTTTTACTAAATGTTTTTGTTGTTTTCTGACCAGTATAAATGAGGATGGCAAGAGTTAAAAGTTACAGTCAATTACTTGACATTATATTAGGAGGTAAGGGATATAAGAGATTATGAGACAGTGCTCCTTCTTATAATGAATTTACTGTCTGGGTTGGAGAGATGAGACCCATGCTCAAAACAAATAGAAGACGAAAGGATAGGAAACCTGCAGTTATTGTATTTTGATGAAATAAAGTGCTAACTGTTGCACAGTTTGAGCCCAGGGTAGTATAGCATAGTGAATGATGGTAGTGTGTGGGATTAGCAGTGAGTGCAACCTGAGTTGAAAATCAAGATTAATGTGAGTTGGAGGAAAGCTACTGCAGGGAGAAAGTAGACTTTAGAAGCATGAAAGGGAGAGAAACGTAATGTGTTAGAGGTCCATAAGGGAGATTGTCCTGTCTGGAGCAGAGGAGAAATTAGAGAGATTGATAGTGATATACATTTATACATAGAATGTGATGTTCAGGGAAAGTGGAAGAAATAAGATCAGATTCATATTTTAGGGGAATAAAACTGCCAATTCTCTTAGAACATATAGGAAGAGGGAAAATTCAGGTGGAGAGATCCATCAGGAATGGTGACTATGGAAGAGTCTGTAGAAACAGCCTGAAAAATTGCTGGTGTTCCACAGAAGGAAAGGCCCCCAGGGTTTTTTCTCACCTTCAGGAGGTCTGAACTCAGAGGCCACAAAGTGGATGAACATGAAGGACAAAGTGAGTAGAGGAGGAGTATTAAGGTGCTAACACAAATATGTTAGAGCCCAAGGGGGATGGCAGTGGGAATGATCAATAAGGAGGAAATCCACAAGAAATTTCAATAAGAGGGTTCAACTGGAGAGAAGGATGAGAATTTGATAGGTTCCAAATGAAGTACAAGGTAGGAGCCTGAATTAGAAATTTCGGATGGAAAATCGCGAAGAAATGAAATCTAATGCAATAGTGGCAGGAGGAAATTGAAGGATGCCAAAGGCAGGAAGTCATTATTTTTAGAATGTATATGTGAAAAACTTCTCTAGATCCTTTTTGAAACCAGATCCCATGTTAAAAAACTGGATGCTCATTTTCCTTCTCACTCTTCTCTCTTTCTTTCTCTCTCTTTTTCTTCCCCTCTTTCTCTCTTTATAACTTCTCGGACTTCTAGAGGCCAGAAGTAGTGTCAGGCTAAGAATCCAGTGTTTTTTTTTTTTTTTTTTTTTTTTTTTTGACAGAGTCTCCCTCCATCACCAGATGCAAGGTCGGAGTGCAGTGGCGCGATCTCAGCTCACTGCAACCTCCACCTCCCGGGTTCAAGCAATTCTCCTGCCTCACCCTCCCGAATAGCTGGGACTACAGGCACACGCCACCACACCCAGCTAATTTTTGTATTTTTAGTAGAGACGGGGTTTCACCATGTTGGCCAGGATCATCTCGATCTCATGACCCCGGATCCACTCGCCTCGGCCTCCCAAAGTGCTGGGATTACAGGCTTGAGCCACCGCGCCCCGCCCAGTGTTTACTTTTTATACTACATCTCTGAAGGAATCATTAGAAAAATCTTCACTTTCAGATTTATCATGTGCTAATCAGTCTGTTTCTATTTTTTTTTTCATCCCTGACCCTTATTCTCTCACATCACTGGACAATGTGAGTTTTTTATGATCCTTTTCTTCTTTAGTAGATCCTTGGAAGGGATCTAATTGCCATAGGCAAGTAACAAATAGTATGTGAGTAGGGTGACCACATAAATCAAGTTAAAAAATTTGACCACATAAATCAAATAAAAATTATTTTGATTTGTTGGCACTATGACATACCCATTTCATTTTGAGGTAATTTGAACTTTATGATTTAAAGAGTAAATGGGGAAAAATAATAGG